ATGAAACCTTTTGGGGAATTTATTACTTATTCTAACTTCACTTCTTCTTTGTTTTTTTTTAGGTAAATGGGTAAGCTTTAAATAAATAGAAAAGAAATATACAAGAGGTCCAGATATGGACAATACATCCAAAGACAACCATAGTTGTCACAAGAACATCAAAGCTATCCACAAGACAACCACAGCTAGCTAACAGAAACTTACAGTCAGTACAACAAACTATAATGTACTCTTATCACATAAACTTTTCTATGAACAACCCAAAACACACTGTCGGCAATACCAGTGACCAAAACCCCATCATGAAGGTGATTGCTAATCTGATATAAACCATGACTGCCCACCTGTGAAGGAGCAACCTTGTAAAAATAGTTGGTGGAGATCTGCCAAAGAGTCCATCTTCCTTAGCTCATTCCCAGTTCTCAACATGGTAGAGGCAAACCTACCTCGGATTGTACTCTTGATAAGGGATATAATGTGGCATGAAGATGAGCAGGTGTTCCTGAATGCCCTTGCATTCCTCTCCTACCAGATGAAGTAAATGGCAGCAACTAATAGAAGCTTGTGTGTGATGAAGCATCCTTGTGTCCAATTGCTGCTACACCAGGTTAATAATTCATGCCAGCTGCTAGGTTGGATGTAGAAACCAGCTATGTGTTGAATAAATTCCCAAATAACAGCACTATACTTACACTTAAAAAACAGATGGTCACAAGACTCCCAGTCTGAAAGGCAAAGGTAGCAAGCATTAGTGTAGTACTTGTTCAACATTGGCTTTGTGTCTAAGGTGTACAACCTCCTCCTCATTGCCAGCCATGCAATGTGGTTGTGCTTTGGGATGTGGTGCTTAAACCAAATTACATGTTGCCAAGGGAAGGCAATGGAGGGAGGATTGAAATAATCCATGGTGTATTTATGTGAGAAGCCCTTTGTAGGGGATGGAAGCCAGACCACACAATCTAAACTAGATGATGGGGATGGAAGAGTTTGCAACTAAGAGATAAAGGATTGGGAGTGAAGGAAAGGTATGTGCTGAAGGTGAGGTGGAATGACCCACTGATTGTTGGAAATTAGGCTATCAACTGAGACTTGTGTGTCCAGTTGAAGAATTTTCACATCAGAGAGGCCTAATTGGGATGATAGAGAACCATGTGGTAACCAATAATCCAGCCAAAGTTTTGTATCCTTCCCATCCCCAATTCTGTGCTTAACAAGTCCCCTATCCATGTCCCTTAGCTTTAACAAATTCCTCCAAAACCCTGAACTTAGAGCTGAAGCTTTGACAGTCCAAATGGATTTTCTCTTGATCAAATAAGTGTGAGTCCAATTTATATAAGTATTTTTGTGACAATTGGAAAAATTAGTGTATTTTTTTTTATATATATAAAAAATAGGGCTGCAAATAGCCCCCACAAATCCGGTGTGTTTGTGTTGGCTTGATCACGAGCTAATTAACCACATTTGTGTTTAAGCAAGCTTGCTTGCCAACTTGGCTGTTTTTGTTTGATTAGCTTAGAAGTATAGCTCAACATTGATTATAGTAAATTTGTTAAGAAATAGTCCTAAATATTTAAACTTAGCTTTCAAAATAAAAAATTATAGTATATATTTTCCGGTAGTTAAAGTAAACACATACATTATGAAAGTTTTCAAAAACAATTTCTTGAAATTTTTTTATCAGAATTTTTTCTTTTGATTTTTTGGTAAGTTATCATGATCATTCACATATAGGGAATTCCTCCCTCCTATGAATGTCAATTTAACGACTGGTATATGTTCATTCTAATAGGGTTATGGATGAGTTTAAAAAGAGAGTTAAATCCCAAAAAGAAATATATATTTTTTTTTATCCGTTATAAAATATTGTAGTTGTTTATTTCTTATAATAATTTTAAATTTTGATGACATTTTGTTATTATAATTTTAAATTTACCAAAAATTTGTATTAAGAACCAAATATCTAACTGAAAAAGGAATCTTATTTGATATTAATTATTGGTTTGTTTGAGCCTACCTGACAATAAGCCTACATCTGCATGAGATCTATTTCATCTTCTTCTTGTCTGACTTGCATAATCACATGAAAATGAGTTCTACTTCTTTTAGAATGAAGAGATATCCAAATCGAATGGGTTATCTATACCTCTAATCTTCAAACAAAATTAATCTTTAAAATTAGATTGGGGATTATCCTTTCTAGCGTCTTTCGGCAGAGGAAGAGATAACGACAATATGATGGAGGATTGGTCAGAGTACCTTTGTTGATGTTTTGTATTCTACAAATTCTACAAAGCACAGGCTCTCTCATTGACATTGTATTACTGCAATTGGTTTTTTTTCTTATCAGTCTCGTAGCTACCATCGGGGTTTGCAAACAATTTGTTGAGATTGCACCAGAGTGCATCAAAATGTTAAAGATGTTAAAGGGTCTCCGTCATCACCACGAAGAGGAGGCGGCCACCAAAAATTTGCTGGAAAAAGAGGCCTACAAAGTATAGAAGTATGTGGGATAAATGTTTTTAATTATATGGTTGTGTTGGCTATCAATCATTTTATCTCTATTAGGATGATTATTATTATTTTGTTTCAATGACCTGGTCCTTATATGAAACTTTTTGGGGAATTTGTTACTTATTCTAACTTCACTTGAATTACAACTTATATATGTTTTTTTTGTGACTATTGGAAAAATTAGTGTATTCTTTTTTTTAAAAAAAAAAAATTAGGGCTGCACAAATCCAGTGTGTTTGTGTTGGCTTGATCACGAGCTAATTTACCACATTTGTGTTTAAACAAGCTTGCTTGCCAACTTGGCTGTTTTTGTTTGATTCTCTTAGAAGTATAGCTCAACATTGATTCTAGTAAATTTGTTAAGAAATAGTCCTAAATATTGTGTTTAGTTTTAATGTTAATAAATTAGGAAACCTTAGAGTAATGCTCAATCGGTTTTATGTGTAACCCCAATAGATAGTGTGCTATTTTGATAAAATTAAGTACTGAAAATTTGTATTAATCTGTACCAATATCAAGCATGAAAAAGGAATCGGGTTTGATATTGGTTTTTTATATTACCAATTTTTTTGAGCTTGGGGATTATCCTTTTTAGGGTCTCTCGGCAGAGGAAGAAAATAACGACGATATGATGGAGGTTTGCACAGAAGTGGTATCCTGTGTGTTGTTTGTGGTATCCTTTGTGTTCGCATTGCCTTTGCTGATGTTTTCTATTTTACAAATTCTACAAAGTGACGGCTCTCTCATTGGTAATTGTATTACTGTATTTTTTATTATTTCTTATGGGTCTCGTAGCTACCATCGGGGCTTGCAAACAATTTGTTGAGACTCCACCAGAGTGGATCAAAATGTTAAAGGGTCTCTGTCATCACCACGAATAGGAGGCGGCCACCAAAAAATTGCTCAAGGAAGAGGCCGACAAAGTATAAAAGTATGTGGGATTAATGTTTTTAATTATATGGTCCTGTGTTGGCAATCAATCATTTTATATCTATTAGGATGATTATTATTATTTTATTTAAGTGACTTTATATGAAACTTTTTGGGTGAATTTATTACTTATTCTAACTTCACTTTAATTATAATTTATATATGTATTTTTGTGACAATTGGATTAATTAGTGTATGCATTTTATTTTTTATTTTTTATATTTTATAAAAAATATAAGGCTGCAAATAGCCCCAACAAATCCAGTGTGGGTGTGTGTTGGCTTGATCACGAGCTAATTAATCACATTTGTGTTTAAGCAGGCTTGCTTGCCATTTGTTTGATTTGCTTAAAAGTATAGTTCAACATTGATTATATTAATTTTTATAAGAAACAGTCCTAAATATTGTGGGTAGGTATCTTAATGTTAATAAATTAGGAAATCTTAGAGTAATGCTCAATCGGTTTTCTGTGCAACCTCAATAGATAGTGTGCTATTTTAATAAAATTAAAAATTAAGAATTGAAACTTTGTATTAATCAGTACCAATATCAAGCATGAAAAAGGAATCGGGTTTGATATTGGTTTTTTATAATACCAATTTGTTTGAGCTTGAAGTGTAAATTTGAGCACTAGCAATAAGCCTAAGGTTTCTTCATCTTATTTCTTTGCTTTCAAGTGTGCATGTGCATGATCTATTTCATCTTATTCACTTGCTGAGCATTGTCTGACTTGCATAATCACATGAAAATGAATTTAGAATGAAGAGAAAATGTAGTCTGAATATATGTTAGTGTTGTAGGTTGAGACTTGAGACACATAACTGCAATATATAAGCTCTTATGCCTCTGGAAAATCAAAATGCATTCCCACTTGTGTAAATACTGTTTTGCAAAGAAATTTCTGTGGCCTCTCATTTCTCTCGCCCTCATCTGGTCTCTTTCTTTTCTCTTCCTTCTCCATTTTTTTTCCTTTCTCCTTCAAGCTTTAAGCTTGATTTAGTCTGAATGTGCGTGTAGTAGCTTGAGACAGGTGTAGATGCTATTTTGCAAATACATATATGTGGATTCAGAGTTACATATTATGTAACGGAATGGAAAATTGTTCTGTGATAAAATTTCTTTTAAGGGTGCATTGCTTTTTTTTTTTTTTTTGGAAGTTAAAGCAACTGTAAAAATTGAAATAAAAGATACACGGAGGGCCTTAGGCCAAAAACAAGCCCAAAGAGGCAGCAATACAAGCCCAAAAGGCAGCCCAAACTAAAAAGATAGAACCCAACATTTAACACTGGTAACTGCAATTAACAGAATATTAGCCGTTAATAGCGACCCCAATCCAATCCGGTGTGTGAATAGCAACTGTTCGGAGCCATTGCCAGAGAGAATCAATCTGGTGGTCTCGGTAGGGGGCGACTTGAGGAAGGCGATAGATCTTATTCACACAGGATCCTATTTGATGCATGAAATTTCTGTAAATAACCAATTTTAGGATGGAAGTGATAGTGTAGCAGATGCAGGTGAGCACCAATCTTTGTGATGCTTTCTTCCTTTTGAAAATTCTCTCATTGCGTCTCCCATGTATGGTAGACAATTGAGAAGAAACAAATCTTGCGAATCAAATTAGAAGCAGTGTTCTTCTTCCATTGATTGCTAGTATATTGGATTAGGTCATCCCAGTTTGTAATTGAAGAGTAGAAGTGACCTCTTTGCTTGATGAATCTCCATAGTGGTGAGACAAAACAGCACTTGAAGAATAAATGGTCATGTGTTTGTGGTTGGGCACGATAGAAGACACAGATGTTCTCATGTTGAGCAATAGATTTGCTATCCAATGTGGGAAGCTTGGACTGAACTGCGAGCCATAGGTTGAACTTCATGCGAGGGATCACTGGACTTTCCCAAACTAGATTTTGCCTAGGGACTCTTGGTTGTTGACCTATTAAAAAGGCTGAAGTGGACTTGAGGGTGTAAGTCCCTGAAGGTGAAGCTATCCAAACCATTTTATCATTCCTTGCTGAATTTGGTGATGACAAAGAGAGGAGTTCTGGGATTGCAGATACAATGCAGTGTGGGAAGGACCAAGTTGAGTTGAAAATAAAGTTGTCCACTTTGATATCAATGTTGAACCCTCTATCTGTGAGAATGTGGCTTGGGAATCTAGTGCTTAAAGGACCTCTAGGAGCCCAATTGTCCCACCAGAAAAATGTGCCTCTACCATTACCAATTTTATGCTTCATTATTTGCCTTGTAGGAACTCTCAGTTGAAGGATCTTCCTTCAGCTCCATGAGCATGGCTGTGGAATCTTTAGTGTCCAGAAATTCTTTGACTTGATAAGATGAGCTTTACACCACCTAATCCAAATCCTGTTGCTATCATCATTGTGAAGGTCCCAAATTAATCTTAGAATCCCAGCTTTATTTGAGATCTTTAGATTAGGAATATCCAAACCACCCATTTCTTTTGTCTTGCACACTTTACCCCAATTTACCTTAGCTATTGTGGTCTTTATCTCAGGTCCAGACCAAAGAAATGACCTTATGATTTTGTTTAGCTCATTAAGGACAGCCTTTGGAAGGATAAAGATGCTGGCCAATAAATTTGGGTAGAAATAAGGACAGCTTTAATCAGTTGGAGCCTTCCTGCATATGACAAAGATCTAGAAGACCAGTGAGTAATTTTGTTTATGATTTTCTCAATCAAGATGTTGCAGTGTGAGTTTTAAGTTTTGTAAAAATTAAGGGAACTCCAGGATACTTAACAAGTAAGGCACCAACACTAATACCAAGAAGATTGGTGATGCTATACTTTGTATGTTGTTCAATTCCAGAGAGGAAAACATTGCTTTTGGATAAATTCACCTCAAGCCCAGACATTCAGCAGAAATGATCCAAAGCACATTTTAAGACAGAAACTGAAGTGATGTCTCCATGACATAAGAGCAGTAGATCATCAGCATATGAAAGGTGAGTAATCTTCAATTCTCCACACCTCCAATGGTATTTGAAATCATTTGCTCTTCCAACATATATGTTAATGATTAAAGATTGTGTATTCATTGCAATAACAAATAGAAATGGAGAGATGGGGTCACCTTGTCTCAGCCCCCTTTTACCCTTGAAATAACCTTGAAACTCCCCATTCAGTGCTATTGTGAATGATGGTGATGAGATACAGGCTTGTATCAATGAGATGAATTTTGAAGGCTAGTTGAGGAGTGTGAGGCATGAGGTGATGTAGTCCCATTTTACAGAATCAAAAGCCTTCCTCAAGTCAATTTTGATTGCACACTTTGCTGTAGTAGAGTCCTTGTGATACCCCCTTAGTAACTTATGAGCTAAAAGAATGGGGTCAGTGATTTTTCTCCCTTGAATGAATGCAGCTTGAGAGAAGTCAATGATGTGAGGGAAGGAGGTTTGCAGCTTAGATGCTAGGATCTTAGCAATGCCCTTATAAACTGTATTGCAATAAGATATTGGCCTGTAATCATGCATAGATGATGGATTCTGGCACTTTGGAACAAGTGAAATATAGGTGCTGTTAGCTTCTGAGAGTAGTTTCCCATTTCTAAAAAACTCAGAGATGGCATTAGTGACTGATCTACCAACAACACTCCATGCTTTCTGAAAGAAAAAGGCATTAAATCTATCTAGACCTGGAGCCTTGTCTTTGTTGAGGCTAAATGTAATACCCCCTAATTTCGGAACACGGGTTGATCAAGTCCGCGCACAAAATCAGGGGATATCAAACCAATTAAAGTATTTAAACAAGCACGGATTACAAAATGAAATAAAGAATAAAATAAAACGCTGAAGAAATCCAATTAATAGTAAATCCATTAATAACTTCCAAATGGTTACAACTCGGGAATCCCGTAACTCAAGGACCCCTTAACCAAAAGTTACTATTTAGAATTTCAACCAATTAAGTACTAATATCAACTGAAACAAAACTAATATCCTACTTTTAAGTAAATAGAAGGAATGGATAAGTCCTCCAGCTGCGGATCCTCAACCTTGAGACTTGACCTTCTACAACCTGAAAAATAAATCGCGGGTTAAACCATACGAGCAAGTTCTCTCTACCAAGCCTCTGAAAACCAATAAACAGATCATCTTTACCAAAACCATCCCTAATTAAGCTTTAACTTTAATATACGATGCTACAAATATATATAAATACTTATATATATAGTGCAAGAATCCTACCAGTTAATAGGGCATTAAATTGTCAAAACCACTCACCAATAATTAATTATTAGTCATACCTAGACCAAGCCCCCCCTTTTATAATTTTCTCATAAAGTAAACCCCACTTACCTTAACTCCATCCTAAACAGTAATTTAGTCATCTACACATATAGCAATTTAAATATGCACCGGCAAATCAACCATACCATTTATAAATATATTTATTTATATACTAGCAATTCAACCATGCTTCCTTCAATATATTTACTTTTACAATTAATTACCAATTCAACCATGCTTCCCATATATGAAATTTATTCATAACCAATAAGGCAGTATATCAAAGCCTTTGGCAACTCATCCATGCCTACAATTCAACCATGTATTAACTTTAAACTTAACTCTAGGTATAATTATACATAGACTTCACATGCATATAATAAGCATGTCCTTAATTTAATAACCGTGTATCTATTACGATTTTAAATCAACCATACCATACACGAATCAAGTCATACCAAATAAGATTTATAATATTTAATAATCTTAAATAATATATATATACACATATATTTTATAATATATATATATGTGTGTATCATACATTCCATACCAATCGTTGACTATTTAAAATCATATCTACAGATATATACACATATATACACCTCCTTTCATTGCAAAAATATTTAATTAATTATATTTATACCACTAAATGCTACTAGGTATCTTAGTAACACTCTGAGGCTCTCAAAATATCAAGAACACATCCTCTAATGATTAATTTTAACCCTAACAAGCTTAAGATAAATACTGGAACTTCACCGGAGTCTCAAGCAACTTTCCAGGACCTCACATGCATCCCCACGCGCCTTCACGCGCCGCCACATACCCCTAGACTACTCCCACGCGCCTCCACGCGCTTCCCCTTACCGGAAGGCGCGTCCACGCGCCTGCACGCGCCCTTACGCGCCTGAGCCACTCTCGGCGCGTGTTGGCAGCTCCTAATTGGTTGCTGTTGGTTGATTTGGTACGCCGCGCTACACTGGATAATCCCTCCTTTGACCAGACCTAATGAATGGTCTAGATGCTCAAGTGCACCATCCCTCCATGCACCGCGAAGCATAGGATTATTCTAATCACTCATCAACTTAACCCATGGCCCAGATCAGTGCTACACCAACTTACTCTAAGCCGCACCACACTGGATTACACACCCTATTTGCTACAGCCGCCTCCAGTAATGTCATATGTTAAACAATTTAACATATTTCTATATATAACAGTATATATAAATAATTTCTATAATAACATTAAAAATATAAATTAATTCCAGAAAATTTTAAAAAAAAACTCAGAAAATTCCAAAAGATTTATTTATTATTTTGGGCATAAATGAACATATACAATTAAATTAAAATCCATTTAATTTAATTAATCGTGCTACACAAGGTTAACGCAAAATATAAAAATTTTAGAAAAATAAAATTTAATTAACCTAACCTCACCTACAAGATCTAAATTATCAGAACAATGCATACATATATTCACATGTTTAATTCTATAATTTTGTAAAGAATAAATATGCTCCTCCAATCTGAATAATAATTTAATTTAATAAAATAAAATTATAATTTCGATAATCAAGGTGATAAGTTTATGAGTTCTAAGAGGAGAAGTAGAGATGAACTCGCCTTTTCTTTTCCAAATCCGGTCTCCTTTTACGTTCTTTGATCCGGCCTCCTCTTCGTTAGCCCTTCTTCTTCTCTCTCTAATTCTCTTATTTTTCTAACGTGGAAAAACTCCTAACCCTAAAGTCTTATGTGTCTATTTATATACATACAAAAACTAAATCCTTTTCCCATTAGGATTATCATATAAAATAAATAATATTTATCTTTTAAATAATATATATACATACATATATTTTACTATAAACATATATATATTACCTTCCATATATAACCATTAGTTAAATAAATTATATATACCTATATATATCAATATATAATTATATTGACATATATACCCCTCCACATGATTTAATAATGAATTAATATACACATGTAATTATATAGGTATAATTATGCAAAGATAATTATTAAATATCCTCACAACCACGGGCCTTTACCAATTAACCCAACAAGGCTTCCTTCAAGCCCAATACCACATCCGTTGGTCCAACTTCCTTTAATCCCAATACAAATAACTTAAATACCTAAAATAATGAAATTAAATTTAATAGCTACCAATAATTAACAATAAAGTTACACCAACATAAAATCACGCAAATCAAATAAACACTTCACTAACTAGCATTCCACAAATCAAACACCGTATAAATTTAACAAATAAAATTACAAAATATATAATTTAATTAAAACAATACAATTTACCTACGCACTTAATTAAATAAAACAAATCACAACTATCAAGCACCTAATTAAATAAAACAAATCACTTAAAAATAATAATAATAATCTAATATAAATTAATTTAATTAATAAATCTTTTTTACAATATCGGGGTATTACACTAAACATGCATTTTTGGATATCAGTATTTGAGGGGATTTCATCCAGGTAGTTGTGCAGATGGATGGGGATTTGCTTGGTGAAGAATGGTTGGAGATCAAGTAAAGAATTAGTTGCAGGTGGTGAGCTCCCAAGCAATCTTTGGAAATGAAAGACCACTTCATATTTAATCAAATCCATATCTTCAATTACATCACCATTATCTATAGTGAGGGATGTTATCTTCCTCTTGTTATTCCTGGATGAGAAAGATTTATGAAAGAAAGATGAGTTGCAGTCACCCAATCTCAACCAGGTCATTCTTGATGTTTGCTTGATCATATCCTCTTGTATGCTGCCCAGCTTTAGGTACTCTTTGATGATTCCTTTCTCCAATTGTCTTAGGTTGGTATCAGAAAATGAGTGATCAAGATCCATTTGGATAAAATCCAATTCCATTTTCAGAGCTTGCAATTTGGAGTTAATATCAGAGTACTCCTTTTTGCAATTAGCCTTAAGAGCCTGCTTTAGGAGTTTGA